ATATTGCAAACCATACTTCCAAGGACCGAAAACAGGAAAACATGGTATCGTCCGTAGGTAGAGGTAATAGGTCTCCAGAAAAGGGGACAAATCCCTAAGAGCAAGATCTGTATGGATGATCGATGTGAGTCGGGCGATCCTTTCAATATAAATGAGGAACGAATGGACTCTGTCAAGGGAGGAAGAAGTAACGATATCACGGACCTGGACAGAGGTAAGATAACTGGCTTGTGGCACGGTTACGTTGTACCTTTCAGCCATGATGTCGTAGGCCGGTATAATGCCGGCCGCCATGAAGGTTGCAGCCATCGAATGAAAGGCCACCATCAGGATTTGGGCATTTTTCTTCCAGACAGGCCAATTCTGAGGGTTGGTGGGAGAGGTATCTGTCCAAGAGCTCCTATTGGGCTGCTGGTCAGGTGGCGTGGGGGATACATTCTCAAGATAAACCTCTTCATGGCCGTTCTTCTTCAGTGTGTCAGAGCGGGCCATGTCGGTGCCCATGGATACTTCTTCTGTCATGGCTGCAGAAAAGATTATGTTGGGCGCAGATCGAGGCGTCGAGGTATGGGTGGTAAAAGAGATTAAAGCCAGAGGCAGCGGTGTTGGTGAGGACTAACACTACCAACAGCTCTATGCAAAGATACTAGTCTTCAGCCTACTTTATATTCCGGGCAGCCCTGCACCGCGGTGTGCGTTCCGGTCCCCTTGCAGGCCATGGCCACGGGACTGGAGCTGAGCCAAGCTGAACGCCATATCAACAGAGTGCACGGTCCTTGGGCAGCTGGATGCCAAGAAGGTATATCATGCGGATCATCACCAACTAACCACTGATGAGAGGAATTGATTCCGAATTCTGAGCTCAGTAGTGGCCAACAGCCTGCTACCCGAGGTTATACACTGCAGACCCAAGCCAACGTTGACCGGGATGGCATCCGACGGAATGTTCGGTGACGGGCGTCGGATGCGGGTCCGTTGATCTTCGTCCCAACTTTATAAGACCCTGATGTTGTCGCGAGTCTGGGGGAAGCTAGTTGCTAGCATGTACCAGGGTTCAGGGGGTCTTGATCCGGGGTACGGATGGATCCCCGCATTTGACTGGCTCCAGATCTAACTTTGCGTGTCGGAAGTCTATCGGCTAGATTCCCGGAAATGGCTCTGAATTTCGGATGTCGTCTTGGCTGGATTGATCATGTACTGTATGGACGTGTGGTTAGTTCTGTATTGAGTCCAGGGGTTCAAGGAGAACTTTCAATGAAGACTGACGCGACTGATGACACTTTGATGGACTATCCGGCAGTGAACACGGCACTTACCATCGCCATTGACTTTGGTCGTAGGGATCTCCTTGGGGAGAGTGCTTTGCGCAAGGACATGTCTTTGGTGCCAAACCCGGCTATCCAGGATAGATGTGGATGCATGGCAGAAACATTACTGATATAGTGCTCTGCTCACAGCAGACTAGAGCTTTCGATACCAGTGCACCTAGTAGTAGCTCATGATAGCTTCCCCACAAAGACAGTCTATGAGGGGATCGAAGCTACAAAAATTATCGGGGCAATGCTGGCCGAGCTATTTCTCCGGTGAATGACTGGCAACAATTTCTCCGTCTCGCTTGGCTGCTAAATCCCCGCGATTTACCCCAGATTCTAAGCGACAGCCTCTGCAGCCATTGACGGGCACTTAAACACCCTCAAGTCACTAATTTCTTCCTGTCATGCAATCACACACACTTCTTGGCCCTGCACAACAACATCTGTCAATCTCCTCATTCGGGGTAATGCAATCCGCACCTCAGCACTCTCACCACCACAAAAACTATAAGATGGCATACAATCTATTCTCCACAGAACCCTCCAATCCCACATACAGGGTGCATATCCATCTCCTCCAGACAGCACCACCACCACCACCACCACCACCACCACCACCACCACCACCACCACAATGCGCCTCCTCCACCCCCTCATCCCAACCTCCCTCCTCCTCCCCCTCACCACCGCAACCCTCCACACCACCCAAACCAACACCACCATAACCCTAACCAACAACCGCCTCACCGCCAACTTCTCCAAATCCCAAGGCCGAATCACCGACCTCTACCTCGACAACCAAGACCTCCTGGGACCCCAATCCGGCGACACCGGCGTCGGCCCCTACCTCGACTGCTACTGCATCCCCTCAGGCTTCTACACCCCAGGCTCAACCTCCCCAACGCTCCAGCTCCTCACGGGCGTCGACAAATCCGGAACCCACTATGCCGGAGTCCTCATGGACGAGACCTACCCCCCGACAGGCCAACACTTCCAACAATACTGGTTCCTGCGCGACGGCGAAACAGGCCTACACACATTCAGCCGATTAGCGTATTACAACCGGACGACGCCATTCTTGCGCAACTTGCAGGAGTTCCGCACGCTGTTTCGGCCAAACACGGAGCTTTGGACGCATTTGACGTCCAGTGAGGAGCAGACTGCGCCGTTGCCCAGTACCAAGGCTGTCGAGGAGGAGGTTGTCGTGCAGGATGCTACCTGGACGTTTAATAATACTCCCGGTGATGCGTATTATGTTCAGTTTGCGGATTATTTTACTAAGTATACGTTTTCGAATGGTATGTTGTACGTTTTTTATGGATGTGGTTTTTGGGGGGGTATGGCTGACTTGTGGCTGTTTACTAGCGTGGAGGGATAATTCCGTTCATGGCATGTATGCTGATGGGAGTACCTCGAATGGGAGTACGTTTGGGGCTTGGTTGGTTATGAATACTAAGGTATGTCGTATCCTCGAAAGTTTATTGGATTCGTGGCTAATGAGGCAACTTGTGTTTGGTTTAGGATACTTACTACGGTGTATGTGCTTGCGTTCTCTAGCGGGGGAAGGAATGTACTGACGACCTGCTTAGGGCCCCCTGCACTCGGATCTCACGGTCGACGGCATCGTCTACAACTACCTCGTGTCCAACCACCACGGTGAAGGCACTCCCAACATCACCTACGGCTTCGATCGCACCTTCGGCCCTCAGTACTATCACTTCAACGGCGGAAAGGGCTCCACTGCGTCTCTGAAGGAGCTGAAATCTGATGCAGAATCCCTAGCAGACCCGAGCTGGAACGTCGACTTCTACGACTCCATCGCCAAACACGTCGTCGGATACGCCCCCTCCAGCCAACGCGGCAGCGTTCAAGGGAAGATCGAGCTTCCCAAAGGTGCCACTAGACCTATCGCGGTCCTGACCGTGGACGGACAGTACTTCCAGGACAACTCGGTGAACTCATCCTCATACCAGTATTGGGCTGAGGTCGACAACTCCGGACAGTTCAACGTGGACCACGTCAAGGAGGGACCCTACCGACTCACTGTATACGCCGACGGCATCTTTGGCGACTTCGTACGCGACGGCGTGCAAGTGAAGGCCGGCAAGAAAACCACTATTGAAGAAACCTGGGAGGCAGAGTCCGCAGGCACCGAGATCTGGCGACTAGGCACGCCAGACAAGTCTTCCGGGGAGTTTCGACACGGCGTTGCGAAGGACCCTACACACCCGCTTCACCCTCCAGAGTACTTGATCTACTGGGGTGCATACGACTGGCAGTCGGACTTCCCTGACGGAATCAACTATACCATCGGCACCAGCGATCCCGCAACCGATCTGAACACTGTCCACTGGTCAGTATTCGGGCCGACACCGAACGATCCGCGCGTCGAATACGATACCACGCACGACTGGACGATCAACTTCCCTCTGAGTGAGGACGATCTCGCAGAGCGGTCCAAGGCCACGTTGACCATTCAGTTAGCGGGAGCGAAAGCGGCCTCCGGCAACACAGACGTGTACAATGCGTCGGAACCATATGCCAATCTCGCCTTGGAGAGTTACATCAACGACCAGGCGGAGCCCCTGACCCTTCTAGTTGGGTTCAATCAGTCAAGTAGCTGCATTGTCCGGTCGGCTGTGAGTTGCTATCAGGTCCGCTCGCGCATGGAGTTCCCGACGGATTGGCTGAAAGTCGGCAATAATGTTTTGACCTTGCATCTCCCGTACAATGCGACAGATACTGAGACGGCGATTTTGCCGGCGACGGTGTATGTGCAGTATGATGCGTTGAGGTTGGAGGTTTCGTAGAGGGGTAAGGGTGTATAGTATAGACTGTTGTCGAACTTTATAGGCAATCTGCAGGTAGCAAAGAGACCGTGATGGGTGCTGCTTTTAGTGCGATAATTTGAAAAGAACAATTCCACAAGCGGAAAAGTCAGAGAATATAGGAGTGATGAATCTATAGTAGTTTACTATCAGCTTACCATTTCAATTCTTAGCAGGCGGTGCATGTTGTAGACAGCGGCCATTGACCATAATAACTGTGTAAACACTTGTCTCCGCAGTCGATAGCGGCCAGAATCCTATCATCCTGTCTATCATTGGCTCTGAAGAAGCTCGAGCCACTCAGCTGTGTCAATTCTCATAATTGAGATCATACGCCACGCCACCAATCTGAGCCAGTGATGGTCCGTTCCAATGTCAGCATAACCGAGGCAGTTCCGGGTAAATTGGCCGATTGCCTGATGGTGAGCATCACGCGCCGTTCTGCAGATACGACAGGTCATTCACTTTGCTATCACTGCTTCACATGCAGTGCGCGATCGCGTCTTGGTTCTTGTAATATTGACTTCTTTATTGGGGACACAAGTTCGAGTTACTGTAAGGTATATGAACAATAATGAGAAAGGCGAAGAGGGTCCAAAGCTGAAGCTAACCGTGGTCTCGGTGAACTTTCAGATGATCGGCCTTGTCCTAATATGGTAAAAGCCTCGGCCCATCGGGGCATGCTTTAAGGGATACTAATCCACTCGCATTGATTGGCAACAATGACTTAAAACCAGACCGTGGACGGATTTACTTCCCCGCATTCTTCTTCTGCAGCTCTTGTTCGATTTCTGCAAGGCTCTGAGTTTCTTTTTGTTTGTTGTGGTATTTGAAGCTGTGACATAGCAACAACGCGACCATGTCGAAGACCTTCACCCGCGCCGAGGTTGCGCAGCACAACACGGAGGATTCTGTTTGGTGCATTATCGATCACCGCGTGTACGATTTGACCGATTTCATCGATGCACATCCCGGTGGCAGTGTGGTTTTGAACCAGGTCGCAGGCACGGATGCCACGGTCGATTTCTATAATCTTCATCGACAGGAAGTCCTCGAGAAATACAAGGATCTTTGCATTGGAACGGTAGCCGGCGAAACCCCAGAAATTGTCACCCCCGAGCCCGGCAGCCTGAGCCAGGTTCCCTACGCCGAGCCTCTGTGGCTGCGTCCGCAATTCAAGAGCCCCTACTTCAATGACAGTCATCGCCGACTCCAGAAAGCTCTCCGGGAGTTCACGGATCGCTATATTACCCCTGAGGCACAGGAGAAGGAGAAGGATGGCACCTATATCAGTCAGGAGTTGATCGATCGCATGGCGGAGGCAGGAATTCTAGCAATGCGCCTGGGTCCGGGAAAGCATTTGCACGGGCGGAAGCTTCTGGGCGGTGTCATCGATGGAAAAGAATTCGATTACTTGCATGATATGGTGCTCTCGCAGGAGTTGGTGAGATCTAATGCTCGAGGTTAGTTGGCTCTTCATGTTGGCCTGGGCCGGTGGGACATTGTACTGACTGTTAGCAGGCTTCCAGGACGGTAACATGGCAGGCATGTGTATTAGTTTGACTGCCGTCCAGCAGTGGCTTCGTAATGAGCCTCTTCGGCAGAAGATCACAGACGAGGTTCTGTCTGGAAAGAAGAAGATGTGTCTGGCGGTTACAGAGGCATTCGCCGGTAGTGATGTCGCTGGTCTTCGCACAACCGCGAAGAAAACCCCGGACGGCAAGCACTTCATCGTGAACGGAACCAAGTACGTATAGCTCGGTCCTTCGATCAGAGATACAAAACTTACTTTTATGCCAGGAAATGGATCACCAATGGCATGTTCTGCGACTACTTCGTCACTGGCTGCCGAACCGAAAAGGGTTTCTCAGTGCTCCTGATTCCCCGCGACGAAGGAGTGGAGACTAAGCAGATCAAGACCTCCTACTCGACAGCAGCTGCCACCGCGTTTGTTCAGTTCGAGAACGTCAAGGTCCCTGTGGAGAACCTTCTGGGTGAGGAGGATAAGGGTTTCATTGTGATTATGAGCAACTTCAACCACGAGCGCTTTATGATGTGTTGCAGTGTGGTCCGCATGTGCATGACCGTTGTGGAGGAGTGCATGAAGTGGTGCAACCAACGCATCGTCTTTGGCAAGAAGCTGATTGAGCAGCCTGTTATGCGGCAAAAGTAAGTTTCCGACGTTTTTGACGGGTCTCCAACAGGCTAACATATCTCAGACTTGCCCGAATGATCTCACTTTGCGAATCGAACCAGGCCTGGCTGGAATCTATTGCATACCAGATGTGCAACATGACCTATGCGCAGCAGTCGGCTAATCTGGGTGGTCCCATCGGCCTGCTGAAGTCTCATGCCACCCGCTCCGCACAGGAGATCGCCGACCTTGCGACCAACATCTTTGGTGGACGGGGTTTGACCCAGTCCGGCATGGGTAAGGTCATTGAGATGTTCCACCGGACATACAAGTTTGATGCCATCTTGGGTGGCACGGAAGAGATTCTGGCCGATTTGGGAGTTCGTCAGGCGATGAAGAAGTTCCCCAGGGCAATGTTGTAGATATTGCATTCTTAATCGAAGGCCCTGCGGGACAGGGTATAGTTTACAGTCATCGGGTATTGGTCATCTGCCCTTTGCATAAGATTTGATTGTACACAAAGGTCATTGAACCAATCTGATCCTCGAGGTCGTGCTATCATCGTCTGTCCATCATAAGCAATTAGAGAAGCGTTCGTACTTCTGAAACGGGTTCGAGGAATTGATAGATGCCGCCACCAATAGCAGTCGGCTTATGGCACAGGTTCCTGCAGGAAGTAAGGTTTTCAGACTCGAGACATGCTCGGAGAGTTCTTTGGGTTTTGTGATAAAGTTGAAACTGTAAGTCTTTAAATAGCTCAAGCAATGTTGCAGCTGTCCGGTCGTCTCTTCTCTATGTCAAGCATGAGATTCTCAAAGAGAGAAGCGACTAGTAGGTTCACTGCTTTGGTGGATGTCCTTATCACTCTCCTGTGTCACCCCAAGCAGCCTCGTTGGTTAACGTAATCGGGTGCTAACCCCCTATGTCATTGGCAGATCCTCGTCCGAGCATTTTCTGTAATCTCATGCTTATAAGTTATCCTCTAGTAAGGAGTAAATGCATGGTGTGATGGTATGTAATTAGAGTGGAAACTTAACAGTGGTTGATCTAATCAGTTCATCATTGTACTACTACTAAGAGCAGTCTTAATGAGCCGTGAAATATATATGTAGTAACAAGTAAATCATTAAACAACTCTAGCCCAGTCTATGGTGACATTCATTGACTTGGCAAAACGTCCAGTAGGTCAAAACTAGTAGTTGTATTCTAGATGTATTAGCACCATTAAACTAATATGTGAAGTGACAGATTGACTGTAGTATAGTAGTCGATGGTGTTATCTATCTGGGAAGGCGCGATCCTGACTAATCATAGATCTGAGGTTCTCCGCAGGCTGCAATGGAGTCGTAAGCGCCCTCAAGTCCCCTCTTAAATACAGACATCTTCACACTCACATCTCACACCTTCTCTTTTCAGAAACCATCTTTGTCATTCATCAAGATGGCTGAAAGCACTGGTTCCTTAAGCTCGGACAGTGTGTTGGCGATCGCCGCAACAGCTCTTCGTGCAGATGGGGCCGCGCCGCCTAGCCTCAAGACGCCATACGAGGCGATCGCTCTAGTCGGCCATGCGTCCATGACAGCAGTCGGCTTCCGCTTAGTTGGACTTGGGGAAGACCACACGCTAGGTACGTGCGATGCGAACACTGCAAGGTAAAGAAATACGCCTTACTGATAATTCTCAACCTCTCAGAGAATCAATCCGATAGCCCCTCACTCCCCGCAGAATGGAACGCCAACACGGCCTTTGCTTTCCGCTACGCCCACTCACAGTCATCGATGCAATATCTGCTCAAGATTAGCCGACTCGGGAATAACGCTGTCATTTTTGCCTTGGCTTTGGGCGATGACAGAACGACATCCTTCGATCTTCCGGTGAAAGACTACGTCTCCGAATCCGCGCTTCCCTTGCCCCCTACCGCCGAGGATCTCCCAGCAGCACTTCGCGAAGCATTTATATCTCCCTCTCGTATTCAGGACTTGATCGGATTATTCAAGATCAACGTCATTCAGAAGCTGGCGCCTGGACTATATAAAGAAGGCTACGAAGATTCCGACCAGCCACAGGAGACGTTGCGCGAAAGAACTCTGGAAAGACCTCCACGCCATGATCCTCTACGAGACGATCCGATGCCCCAACCCGCTCGTCCGTACCCATTTGACGACCCCCTGGCGGTGCCTCCCCGACGACCCGTCCCAGCTGGGGATTTTCCGCCACCAGGATTCGAGGATGAGTTCGAGATCCAGAGACCGCCTCGAGGATACCCGGGAGGTATGGGAGGAAGAAACCCGATGAACATTGGAGACCGAGATTTGTACCCAGCGGGACTAGGCCCGAATGATCCTTTGCGAGGAGGTATAGGCCCTGGGCTGGGAGGTGGCGGCGGTGGTGGTATGCACCCCACGTTCGATGATCCTCTGTTTGGTGGACCTCGTGGACAAGGGTACGATCCTCAAGCACCACCAGGATCGCGGTATGATCCGGTAGGGCCCGGACAAGGGGCACCATTTGGACGAGGACAGGGGCCGTATGGGGGACGCGGGTTTGGCGGAGGGTTCGGAGGATTTGGTGGTGACATCATTTAAGCGCGGCGGCTGAGGCTTGGGGGCGGAATTTTTGCAGACCAAAGTTTGTTTGAAAACTACACGGTACATAACTAGTTAGTGCACGACGTGATGACACAGAATGAGTGATGATATGATTTTTGTATGTATATGAATGTTGAAATTGGTGTTATTCTGTCATGGAACAATTGAGATGTTTGATATCAAGCAATCAGTAAATTCAATGAATGTATTGTTGTTTCTGTTCCCTCCACACCAATGCTTTTTGTGGCGGGTACCATAGAAAGCTGTAATAATTTCTGGGGCAAGAAAAGGGCAGAAAAAAGAATAAGAACAGGGTAAGTGTGGCTGATGCACAAGCTGGAAGGGGAAGGCGGGCGGTGTGGCGCACGGACTTGGGAAGCCCAGTTTTGGGCGAGTTTTGCACGACCAGCAAGAACATACTGCTAGTTGTACCTCTGACCACCACCACTACCAGCAGCAGCCACCAGCGACCACCGCCATCCCAGCTCACACCTCCCTTTCCTTATTCTCTCTTGTCATTCCCCTACCCCCCAACCTTTTCCCTTCATCTCTTCCTTCCCCCCCCCCCCATTCCTCCACATTTCAAACCCCCTTATTTGCCCCTCTTATCTTTCTTCAATCTGTGGGTGACAGGGCTTGCTGTCCCATTCTTGGTCCGTCGTTCAATTTCCGTTGGTGCACCGTGTCTCGTCCGACCGACCTGGTTCCTCCCCCCCCCCCTCTAAGAAATCCACGCCCTCCCTCACGAGACCTCCCCTCCCCAGTTGGTCCCGCTCCACCAACCCCCCCTCGGTTGCAGTCATCTTGAACTCGCTCTCTTTCCCCCCACCACCCTCATCTTCGCTCTTGGTGGTCACTTTCAATGGACAATAACATGGAGATCGATACGGCGCGGTCGCCCGAACCTCACCACCTCTCCCCGACCACCGACCCGGGGTCCATACCCACCCTCGATGGATGGATCGAAAGCTTGATGACCTGCAAGCAACTAGCGGAGGAAGATGTCCGGAGGCTTTGTGATCGGGTGTGTGCTGCTTCTGCTGGGAATTTTGGGTGTCTTCGGAAATGAATAGTCCTAATCGTGGTCGTGTTTTTCTACATAGGCAAGAGAGGTTCTGCAGGATGAGTCGAACGTGCAGCCCGTGGTATGTGATTGACTTTTCTGCTGTTGTTGTTGTGGCCTGCCTTCCCGCGCTGCCCGGCCCTGCTCGTGGCCCCGCGGCCGTTGCGACCGATCGGGACTGACTCTTCCCAATCTATAGAAATGTCCAGTGACTGTGTGCGGTGATATACACGGTCAGTTCCATGATCTGATGGAGCTGTTCCGCATTGGTGGCCCCAATCCGGATACAAACTACCTGTTTATGGGTGAGTTGGCGTGTTACCGCTTATGCCAGTCGTCCCCCTTGGCTCACCCGCCCGCCCACTAGGTGACTACGTCGACCGTGGTTACTACTCTGTAGAGACCGTCACGCTCCTTGTCTGCCTCAAAATCCGTTACCCCCAGCGTATCACCATCCTGCGAGGAAACCACGAGTCGCGCCAGATCACGCAAGTCTACGGCTTCTACGATGAGTGCCTGCGCAAGTACGGCAACGCTAACGTGTGGAAATACTTCACCGACCTTTTCGACTACCTCCCCCTCACCGCACTTATCGAGAACCAGATCTTCTGTCTGCACGGCGGTCTGAGTCCGTCGATCGACACCCTCGACAACATCCGCTCTCTGGATCGGATTCAGGAGGTCCCGCACGAGGGTCCCATGTGTGACCTTCTGTGGAGTGACCCCGACGACCGATGCGGCTGGGGTATCTCTCCCCGTGGTGCTGGATACACATTCGGGCAGGATATTTCGGAGGCATTTAATCACAACAATGGCTTGACTCTGGTGGCACGGGCGCACCAGCTGGTAATGGAGGGTTACAACTGGTCCCAGGATAGAAATGTGGTCACGATTTTCTCCGGTATGCTGCACTGCAGAATTTGGCTCACGTCACGCGTGATATGGCGGTCATGGCTAACTATGTCTCTCTAGCTCCTAACTACTGCTACCGCTGCGGTAACCAAGCCGCAATTATGGAAATTGACGAGCATCTGAAATATACCTTGTATGCGGTGACCCCACCATTTCAATCGGAGAAGGTATTTACTGACGCAATCGACAGCTTACAATTCGATCCCTGCCCGCGCGCAGGAGAACCCATGGTCTCGAGGCGCACACCCGACTACTTCCTGTGATTTGATTTTTGTGATAGACATAACCGGCTCACCTCTGGCAAGTTGAGGTTCTCCGACCCTTCGAAAGGGCTCCAGGGACGTTTGGCAACAGAAAGACACAACCAAGGCGGTCTGGCCTGAATAATTGTATGTCCGTATTTCTGACCGTGTTGATACCAATTCATGAAAATAAAAGACGTTCCGAGACTTGCTGTTTTTTCTGTACCGTCATAATACATACAATGTGCATTATGGTTTCTTGTTGCCACCCGGTGGGGTGATGCCCTGTGTCGCTGCCTGAAAACCGGTATGCGCCTCAGGTAGACATACACCACACATGCATTATGAGCTTCGAGCCCAATATGACAGACCAACCGTAGTCGACTATCATTTTCTACCCATTTGTCATGATTTTAGGCATACTCAAGCATTTGGTGGTTGTCCTACTTTGTTGCCCCTCTATTCTGAGCGGTGAGCTTCCTAACTCTTCTCTCTAAATCCCTCAACGAATGCAAAGAAATGGTGAATTATGTAGATATGGCATTTTACAAATGATTTATACGTCATGCACACGTCACACTTCTTCAGAGAAACAATAAAGGTAATGTTGGCATATACGACTACTAGTGTCTCAAATATGTACAGACAAGACATCTAGTAATGCAATCATGACAAATCACAGGCATAATAAACAAGGACACGCACACATAAAAGCAATGGCTAAGCTCAAGGGAGGAAAAAAAAAAAAAACAAATACAAAACACAGCATATATCTGCTATGCAGAATTCAGATCTTCATCCCCTGAGCCTTCTTGGCCAATAACTCCTCGACTTCCTTCTCGTGCTTGGAGAAGTTGTCGACGAGGTTATCCCACATCTTAGGCTCGTGTTCGTGGCGCTTGTTGCTTGTCCACGCGTAATCGGTGATGGTGAATGGGCGACTCGACTCGAACATGAATGCCATTGAGGCCTCGGAGATGCGCATGGCTGGCGGGTCGACTTCCGTGGCGGCTTTGAATTCTTCGTAGGCGACGCCGTGGGGGACCACTGTTGATGATTGAATTAGATGGATGATCTCTCAGGGTTGGGATGGGGGTGATGCTTACTGCCACATTCGAAGGAGACACTTCCGGGCTGGAAGGCGTCGGAACGACCGCCGTAGTCGCCGTAGATGAGACCCATTAGTTCGGAGGCGGCGTTGCGGTGGTAGTATGGAGGGCGGTAGGTGTCTGTTATTGTTGTTGTTAGCAAGGTTGAAGAGTCATAACCTCAATTTGTGGGAGGAACGTACGCGACGCGACATCCCAGCGAGGAGAGAAGATGAGTAGATCGGCCAAGGGAGCAGTGGGATCCCGAGACTTGGCTGTAAGGACACAGAAGATGGAGGGGTCCATATGATCAACGGAGATGGAGCCGACGTTGACGAACTTGGTCATGTCGTACTTGTAAGGTACCTGTGACGCATTAGTATACTTTTGATCGGGAGCATGCTGGAAAGGGGAGTAGCATACATAGTTGCCATGCCAGGCAACCACGTCAAAGGGACTGTGGTTCTGTGTGCTCTTGAAGAACTTTCCGCCCAGCTTGTACACAATCTCCCAAGGCTCCTTGGAGATCTCATACTTCGCCGTGGGGTAGAGGAAGTCCCGTGCATTGGCGAGACCATTGGCACCCATGGGTCCCAGCTCAGGGAGTTCAAATTGACTACCCCAGATTTCAAGGATGTAACCACGAGAAGGCCCATCGGGAAGCTCTACGCGGAAACGGATGCCGCGTTGGATAATGACAATCTCTCCAGGCTGGACGAACAAGGGACCAAACTCGGTCTGAATGTCCAGTGCACCCTGTTGGGGAACGATGGCCATCTCACCATCCGAATTGACAAAGGCCTTCTTGGTCATGCTGGTGTTAGCAGTGTAGACGTGGGTGGCCAGGCCTTCCCGGAGGGTTGGCTCGCCCGAGCCAGCCACGGTCTTCAGACCAGAGACAAAGTCTACTTCGCCATTGGCTGGAATGTCAAAAGGGTGCCAGGCAAGCTGGGTAGGGGAGACATGGACGCGGGGGTTCAGAGGGAGAAAGTTGGATTCTGTGTCATTGTTATCGGGAAGGTCGGTCTATAGTCAATGTTAGTAGGTAGCAACCCTAGATGACAGCTGCAGAACATACGAATCCCTGGTGGGCAACAGCCGGACGGGCACGGTACAGCCATGCCTTCTTGTTGCAATGCCTCGGGGCAATGAAGGCCGTGGCCGTCATCTGCTCAGCGTACAGGCCAAAGCGGACATTACGAGGGCTGTTTTGGCCCTGTGGAAGGGTTCCAGGCACAGCCTCGGAGGCGAACCTAGTAGATTAACTACATCAGCCAGTTGAATCGCTAGATGCAGGAGAACGCTTTGACATACGAGTTGCCGAATCCGGCTTGGTACTGTTACACTTGAGTTAGCTACGGTAAGCAGAGGATAGGCATTGGCACAAAACACTTACTTCATAAGGATCATTCCGCCTGGTAGCGAAGGAGGGAATGGTGCCATCCTTCTGTGTCTCTGCCCAGTGGAAGATCTTCTGGTATTCTTTGGGGTCGGCGAGGTCACTTGTGGAGGGCATGATGGGTGGTAGGTCTCAAAAAAGGAGCTATTATAGGAGTAAAGGGGAGTTTGAAGAAAGAGGATAGCGCGTTTATAGAGTCATGAACCGTGATATATGGGGAGGAGAGCCGGGGCAGGTTCCAGCAGGCTCTTATCCTTGAGCTGGTGGAGTCGGTCCAAGCGGGAAGCCATTATGAAGCAATTAATCAGACCGCTGGCCATCCGGATATCCGGGCCAGCTGATTCCAAGACAGCAAGTCAGGATGGATGGATGAGACCAGAGTTTGGGAGTATTGGATGGGTTGCATACAATATGGGAAGTTGGCAAGTAATTGGGGGACTGTTCGGCAGATGTCGAGGGGGTAGTGTTGCCGAGAGCAGTAGAAGCCATGAGGAACTCAGGCAACATCAGGCACCTCAGGCATCAGCCAGTGGAGCGACCCCACATGAGTCAGGCCTGAGTAACGGTGGGGAAGTTCGCCCGCCTTTGCGCTTGCGGGGACAGCCCCGGGTAGCAGCAACCGCTGGAATTGCCGATGTATACTCCTTGGTATACACTCCAAAAAGAAATATCTCCTTTATATCAATAGCTCACAGCTTACGGTGGCACAGACAAAAGTAGTAATAGCACCGGCTGTGTTAAAGGCATTGTATCTGAATTTCTTCTATGTATCTCCATTAGAACTATGGAATAGATCGCCGTCTAATTCAACAAGCTAATCTTGCCTGCCGTCAAGGCAAATACAATAGGCATATAGACACCCATCCCAGCCTCTCTAAGAGCTTGAACATGCTCGACCCGTCTTCTAGACGCAAACTGCGCTTCAGAAATCTCGCCACAGCTCCCCAGAGGTCCGTAGGCAAATCTTCGCTCCGTAGACCACGGACTACCCCCGTTGACGAACTGCATCCAACGCGTCCGCATCTCCTGACCGACAGCTTTTGCAGCAGGGTTGAAGGACAGGTCGACGCCATCAAACAAGAACAGCAGGTCAACAGCATGATGGGCTCGGCTGGAAGCCTGCCATGGGTTGGCCTGGTCAACCACGTACTTGTAGACTCGTTTCCCTGCTGCCTGCAGTTTCTCGGCTACGACTTCCACCGGCAGCGTATAACGAACATCATTCACAAGATCCAATGCACCCAGCTTGCAGGCAGTTGGTCGATCAGCAACAACCTGATACATCTTGCGTAGCTTAGTGCCCCACTTCTCGTCCTGCTCAAATGCTGCAGTAATGGCTTCTCCATCGAATGTCTCGATTCCGTTCCTCCAAATGACTGACTGCACCGATATAAGTAAGTGATTTCAAATACTGCGATAAAGGATCACCCACCTCATACTCGGTATCACCAATCATGAGTTCTTCCACCAACTCGGACTTGCCTTCCCATCCTTGAAAGTCCTCATCCTCTTGTATCCACATGGTGTTCACATTGCACTCCTTCAAGGCCTGCAATAGAGCGGGCACCGACGACAGCCGGAGCGACGGCTCGCCCAGTTCCTGCACCTTGGCTTCCAGCGCCTTGATGAGACCTTGACCCTTCTCAACCGGCAAGGGAGAAGAGAGATAGAGCGATCCAGAAGCCAGAACGGCCCTCTTAACAGGAGTACCGGTGACTAGATGAGCATGAGTGTATACCGCCCCAGCACTCTCTCCAGCCAATGTGATGTTGTTCTGTAGGGATACCAATTAGCTTTAGTAGACAGACCACCGCGCGACGTAGTACATACTGGATCGCCTCCAAAGGTGGAGATGTTGTTCCGCACCCATTCAATACCCAGTTTCTGATCCTTGACAGCAAGGTTCTTCTCCTTGCCGTCACCAAAGCTGAAGATATTGAGTCGGTAGTTGATTGAGACGAAGATGATAGGCTGGCCGGTTTTGATAGAGTCCGCGACAATCTTGATGGGATCTATTGACTCCGTTGTCAGTTTCTGATAATGGAACACTCTTAGCTTCCCTTACCGCAGATCTTCGATGCAGCAGAGCAAAACGTCACCACCTGGGATCCTCCTGTACGACGTATTTAGCAATTGCTTTCTAGACAGTATAGAAAGATCATATGACGTTACATACCGTAAATCCACAAAAGCACAGGAAGAGGTCCCTTGGCAGAAGACGCCGGAGGACAGGTAATATCCAAGTTCAAGCATTCAAACTCATCCTCAGGCTCTTTTCCAATTGGAAAGTCCTCCGGGATGCGCAACAAATGGCGAACGTCAACATCGACCTGTGGACACCTCGGCCTACCCAAAATTGAATCCGATATCAGCACTCATTCACGCGTCCAGCAGGGAAGGATTCAGAGCAGTACCCATATTGAGAAGCATCAACCACAGCATCCCCAAAGTCATCCACCGGCTGAGCCCGCTCAAACCGCGCGGGGACAGATGCGTACTTGATACCCCGAAACTCATTCACCGTGACTCCCTCCGACCCCCTCTCAATACCCGTAAAAGTCGCACGAAGACCCTGATGTTGCACTAGCGGAGATGCCATTTTGCCAATACTTTCATAATATGCTACACACGAAGAAGAGCAATTATGACCGAGGACAATATACAGGACAGTCCAGCCGGAAAGACAGGCGGTAATGGTGCCACAGGCTCGCCAAATTTCCTATGACGAAGCATCCTAGCTCAGCTTCGTCTTTGTCAGTGATTTCTCAGCATCATCCCTTCTGATCCGGCTCATGATTCACCAGGAAATGCCGATATCCGAGCTGTCTGGCTGGGTGACTGGCTGGATTGAGGGCAACTTGGGGCTGGCCGTCTCGCCCCCGAATCCGTCATGAGGTGGGGCTGTTGCGGGGAGATC